TTTTGTGGCAATCACTATGCATTATGAAGTTATTCCTGACAGCCCTTGAAAGTAACACTGCTCTTAACTTGGGTTCATTTTATCTGATAATTTGAGAAGTATATCAGTTGCTGACCTTTGGAGCATTCAGTGATCTTGGAAAATATTTTATGCAGCTCTAAGGTTCCAGGGATAACTCTTCAAAGCTATATCCTAAACAGCTTTTCTTTCCCCCCTTTTTTATTCTCTTTTTCACATATTGCCCTTCAGAGGCACAGAGAGTTGACTTGCCCTTTGGGCTGTCTTATTTATGTGTGCTCTAAAGTTGTCTGCCAATGTGTAAAGGAGCTTCCTTCCTAAAGATACCATCTCTGGATTAAATATACTGCCTTGCCCAGGTCAGATCTAAGGAGCAGCTGTTTGGGACATTGGCTCTCACTTCGTTAGGGAAGAATTGGAGTCAGTCTTCCAAGGCGGGGAGACATTTATGGGATGCCAACACTGTTTGGAGATGTGAACTTTACATTAAAACCAGAGGAAGCATGTAAACATGAATAATGTCTCTCTAATATGTCCTGGTTTTTATATTATATTATTTTTTATTTTTTTATTATTATTATATTATAATTCAGATGCCTCCTGATTATGTGTGGAATAGGAGGGCAACACTGCTGTTGTTAAAATGCAGATTGCATCCTTTGCAGAAGCTGATAACTTCCCAGAGCAGATATTTTGGCACAGAGAACTTTGGCCTGGTTTCAGTCAGCCACACCCAACATATGCCAGTTTTGTTTGTTTGTTTATGTTCTGTTCCCTATAGCTGCCACAACCCAGTTATTGCTGTAGTGGTCTTTCTCAAGTGAACAGCCTATATTGTTGTTGTTGTTCAGTCGTTTAGTTGTGTCCGACTCTTTGTGACCCCATAGACCAGAGCATGCCAGGCCCTCCTGTCCTCCACTGCCTCCTGCAGTTTGGTCAAACTCATGCTGGTAGCTTTGAGAACACTGTCCAACCATCTTGTCCTCTGTCGTCCCCTTCTCCTTGTGCCCTCAATCTTTCCCAAAATCAGGGACTTTTCCAGGGAGTCTTCTCTTCTCATGAGGTGGCCAAAGTATTGGAACCTCAGCTTTACGATCTGTCCTTCCAGTGAGCACTCAGGGCTGATTTCCTTCAGAATGGATAGGTTTGATCTTCTTGCAGTCCACGGGACTCTCAAGAATCTCCTCCAGCACCATAATTCAAAGCATCAATTCTTCGGCAATCAGCCTTCTTTATGGACCAGCTCTTATTTCCATACATCACTACTGGGAAAACCATAGCTTTAACTATACGGACCTTTGTTGGCAAGGTGATGTCTATACAGCCTATATACCATGGCCATATTACATGTACATATGCTACAGATGGGGAAACTGTGGAATTGTCTGTAGTGGGTGTGTTTGCTCATGCTATGTAAGTGTAATTATTTGCAGTTGTGAAAAATTCTTCCCCTACCTTGTCTATGTCACACTAGAGGAACATTCTGAAGATTCACCACACCTTCTTTGCCTTGCACCATCACTATTATCTTACAAGCACCTCCCCACTCCCTTGCTTATGGAAAGTTTTACACATTTACTGTGGTATTGTTGTGTGAGGTCCTCTGCCAGAACTTGCACGATAGTGTCATGGCTGTAGTCTCTTCTAATAGGTTATTTTTGTATCCACCAGAGGATATTTTTTACTGCGTTTTTTAAAAAGAACGTTATCTAATATATAAATGCCGTGTCTTGGACACGATGCAAAACCAGTTGTCAATGAGAGGCATGCCAGGTATATCTTGCATGATGCCGATTAACACAGAAACACAGATTTGCAAATGTTCAGGCAATATTGTCTTTCAGCTATTGCCAACATGTTTTTGAGGAGCTTTTTGGAATAGCCCAATGAAATTAGGTCACCTCTCCTGTAATGAGATCACTTACCTCATCTGGGATCATAATAAATAGACACAAATTCTATTTATTCTGTAGGATTTAATTTGTGTGTCTTCCAGTAATGGCCAGATAGGGGTCCATTCTTCTTCTCTCAGAATTAGGCCTCTGTGGGATTTCCCAGGGCAGCTAGGAAACCCCTGTTTCCCTCATAGAGCTACAATTTGAAGAGTTCCATGGGAAGAGCAATTGATTGTTAAGCCATTCTGGGAATTGTAGCTCTCTGAGAGAAAAGGCGACTGACTCCTAACAACTCTAAGCCAGACTAAAGGCTCCAGCATTCTTTGGGTGAACCCACTGTTTAAAGTGGTATATTGCTTTAAATATACCTTGCTTTTTAAATGAAAGTTGGGAATCTGGGGTTTATGGGGGGTTTTGGGGGGCAACTACTGGAGTGTGCAATCATGGGGTGGGTTTTCTGAAGGGTAATCTGTGCTGGAGAAGTTGGAAGGCCTCAGTACTACAGCTTTTGTCCTAGCAGTTGGCTCACTTTGAGATTCTGCAACTCTAGCCTCTGTTGCTGATGATCCCATTGCACCCTGTAAGCTTCTGCTTTAGGGTCAAGAAAGGAATGGAGGGTTCATTCATGCATACTCAGCTCAAAATGGTGGCTAGCTTTCAAACTACCATAAAAGATTTTTTTAAAAAAAATGCTGTAGACCACTGATCCTTACATTTACATAGCTGTCAACTTTTCCCTTTTCTTGCGAGGAATCCTATTCGGAATAAAGGAATTTCCCTTAAAAAAGGGGAAACGTTGACAGCTATGCATTTATCAGACTTCATTGCATTCATGAGCGACAGCAACTAGTTGAAACTATGAAAAAGAGCAGCGTTATGTAAACTTACTATAAAGTGTTACATTCCTTTTGCCCTTCTGCAGTAATTAAAATGAAAAAGAAAAACATTGTTGAAACCTTGAGTGTGGTGTAAAGAAACCGAGAAGTGTGTTACCAGATTTGACTTTATGAATCAACATTTTTACACTCCCACATATCCCGGAAAGATTTAGTGATTTGTCCCATAGAAACTCTGGAGGAACTGTGAAAAGCTGGAAGTGTCTCACACTCCCTTCCCCAACTGTTACACAGAACACAACCATGTGACATAAATGCTTTTAGAATGATGGGACCTGTGACTTATGTACAGAGGAAGAGTGCATGTGAACTTCTACGAACAAAAGTCTTGGCTTTGAAGTCACTTGAGTTTCCTTTGTTCTTTTTCCACTGAACGATAATTTAACGTGATGGAATATTGGAAACTAGCTGTAGACTGAAATCCCACTTTTTTATCCTTAGCGAATTTCAAGCTGGATTCCGTCAGCTCTCCAAATGTCCATGTGGTTTTGAATCCTGTCGTATAACTCATTCCTACTTTGGAAGGGTATCAGAAAGTCTAGGGCTGTACCTATTTTGGGAAAGTGTGTTGGGTTGTGTAGTGTGTGTATATTTTGGGTTGTGTGTGTGGTCGAACCCCTCCCCCCCATTATAGTACAGACTTCCTGGCATACACATGCTGTCTTTATAAATCAGAATTAATCCATCCATTTGCATGCCAAGAAGTCCGTAGTTCCATTGTTGTTAATTTGATCATTCTGCATAATAGAGGCCTAATAGAGGCATCTAATTTATGAAGTGTTTGAAATCAAATAGCAGTGGGATGTAAATCAGTATCAAATCTACTCAGACAGTTTTGCCCAGTTTAGCATTCATTAACCCCATCATCCCTCAAATAATTCACTTGTGTTTTCATGTTCTTCCATATTATTTAGTAATGTGAAATTACCCCAAAATAGCAACCCACTACTCACCAGCAGGTCTATCAACAATTATTAAGATGATAGCTAAATGGAGTGTTTGTTTTCAGAGCTAGTGTACCTCTGAATACCAGATGTTGAATACCAAATGCTGTGGACAAATAAGAAGGAAAGCCTCCATGCCCTGCTTATAAGCTTCCCAGATGCTTGTAAACATCTGGCTGGCTAGAGTTGTTCAACTGTGAGGACTGCACTCCTGCAGAGCTCCTATTAAGATCTTATCTATTTTCAGCTTGACTCACATCTGTTCAGGGGTGAACCAGATTTATTATGTAGGGTTATTTGCTCTTGGCTTAGACGAGGCTCTGGTATTTGAAGGCCTCTGCACTATGACCAAATACCATTGTAGATGTAAAGATATTTAGACAAACCTCCCAACTTACCTGTGGTTCAAAGGGAGTTGGAGAAGCCAGATGATCAATGCATCCACAGCTATACTTGAGAGTACAATACAGGACTTCCTTGACACCAGGGATGGATGGCCTGTCACTCTCCATATGTTGTCAGACTCTTTAACTCCCATGAACACCTGCTAGCATGGGAACTGCAGTCCAACAACACCTGGAGATCTATAGGTCTCCCACCCTAGCTTCAGGCTCTTTGGTCTGTTCAGAATGCTGAAAAAAATCTTTTTCTCCTATTATAGCTATCTCTTTCTGTTTCTCTGCACTCTCAGCTCCATCAATTTCACCAGGTTTGTTCAACAAGGCTAAATACAGCTCAGCAGTCATGTATTTTGGCCTACCTGGTGCCACACAACTCTCCTTTTTGTTTTTACACTCCCCGAAATGCAGTAAAAATAGGACTTAATCCATCCTCTGGTGGGCTGCTTGCACATGAGTGGATATTCTCAGACATTTCATGGATGAAAATACAGACAATTGGATCATTATATGTTTTTCCCCTGGCCAATTGCAGATAGCTAAAGAACATTTTCTGCCTGCTACATGCTGTGCTTGTCTAGAATCTGTCTTCCAGTGGCATTTGAAGCAAAGAGTCTTAGCAAACCAAGTGCAACAGTGATCAAGAAAGAAAGAAAGAAAGAAAGAAAGAAAGGGGAGGATTTGTCAATTTAAATAATGTCAGTGCCTCTTTTCCAAATGTAGCTCAGAAATGCAACAAACAACATTTTTTAAATACAAAAAATCAGAAACATTGCAGAACAGGACCAATATAACAGCTGAGTTGTAGCCATCAGCTCAACCACTAAGAATACAACCCCAACTCTGGGAGGAGGTTTGGCTCAGTGGTAGAGCATTGGCTTTGCCTGTAGAAGGTCCCAGGTTCAGTCACTGGTGTTGTTTCCAGGAAGGGCTGGAAGAGAACCCTGTCAGTGTATACAGTACCGAGCTAGATGGCCCAATGGTCTGACTCAATATAAGGCAGCATCATACATCCCAGTGTGGTGTAGTGGTTAAGAGCGGTAGTCTCGTAATCTGGGGAACCGGGTTCGCGTCTCCGCTCCTCCACATGCAGCTGCTGGGTGACCTTGGGCCAGTCACACTTCTTTGAAGTCTCTCAGCCCCACTCACCTCACAGAGTGTTTGTTGTGGGGGAGGAAGTGAAAGGAGAATGTTAGCTGCTTTGAGACTCCTTAAAGGGAGTGAAAGGGGGGATATCAAATCCAAACTCTTCTTCTTCTTTCAAAAAAGCAGACAAGGAACATCTCCTCAACATCTAATGGTAGCTTACTCCAAACTTCTTGCAGCCTTGACTGAGGATGGACTTCAAGTGTTGACAGACAAGATGGGCATCTAATAGAGTTGAGCCTGCAGTCCAAGTCAGAAGTCAGCACCTTGGTCAGTGCACTGTGGGAGTCAGACTTGGTGTAGCTACAGCAGGTGTATTTGGATCAAGGAATCAATAGCTTGGAATGTTGCTCCAGCACCTGAAGGCTGAAAGTAGTCCTCTGGGGAAGACTGTGTCTGAGAGTCTTCCTCCCCAGTTGAAGAAGCCATGCTTTCTTCCTGAGGCATATGATTCCATGTGGGTTTCACATCTCCTGCTTCCCATTGATAATGGTGAAGGTGGGATTCCCAGATCAGGGAGCTTTTCCGGATGAGTTGTTGATGTCTGAAGATATCCCATTGTTGCAATGAAAAGTTTTGTTTATTTCTTGCATGTCCTTCTCAAGGTTTCTTATAAAATATGGTGTCTTATGGTGAGTTGATTGTCTGAACTGGACCCTCATTTCTGGAATGGTCATTGAGAGTTCAAATCTCCATTCCTGCTTAATTTATGTCATAAGCAGGGGTGACAGTTGGCCAGAATGAATATAAAGTGAAAGCTTTTGCAGATGATCTGGTAATAACAATTGAAGAACCAACAGAAGGTGTAATAGAAGTATTGAAGGAGATGGAGCAATTTGGAATGGTAGCAGGGTTTAGACTAAATAAAAAGAAAACCAAAATAATAGCGAAAAATATGGACCAAAGTATGATTGAATTATTGCAACAAAAAACAGAGATAGATGTGGTGAAAAAGGTAAATCTGGGAATTTGGGAATCTGGCTAACTCCCAAAAACATTGACTTATTTCAAAACAATTATATTCCGGTGTGGAACAAAATAAGGAAAGACCTGGAAGTATGGGGCAGACTGAAACTATCCTTTTGGGGTAGAATTTCTTCTATAAAGATGAGCGTCCTTCCTAAGATGTTATTCTTGTTTCAGATTATCCCCATAATAAAGGGGGTATCAATCTTTACAGAGTGGCAAAGAGTGATATCTAGGTATATCTGGCAGGGCAAGAAGCCGAGAATTAAATTTAAGTTATTAACAGATGTGAAGGAAAGAGGAGGCTTCGCCCTGCCAGATTTGAAATTGTACTATGAAGCAGCCTGTCTCTGTTGGTTGAAAGAATGGATAAAATTAGAAAGTAAGGAATTATTAGACCTTAAAGGTTTTGATAATAGATTTGGATGGCACACATATTTATGGTGTGAGAAGAAGAAAATACACAAAGGGTTTGGGAGCCACATATTCCGAGGTCCATTAATAGAAGTATGGGATAGGTATAAAAACCTATTACAACCAAGAGTTCCGCATTGGTTATCTCTGTTAGAGATTATGTCTGTGAAGAAAGTAAATATGAGAAGTAATTGGATTACTTATGGAGACTTAATAATTAAAGGAGGAGGTAAATGGAAGATAAAACCATATGAACAAGTTAAGGATCATGTTTATGATTGGTTGCACTATTTTCAGGTTAATGAAATGTCTAAAAAAGATATCAAAGAAAGTAGGTATATGGAAAAAGATTCAAAGTTTCAAACAGATATAATAAACAATGATTGTAAAATTCTGTCAAAAATGTATAAGATATTGTTAGAATGGTATACGAAAGATGAAGAAGTTAAAACGGTAATGATACAATGGGCCAGAGATTTTGGATATAATATACAATTTGATGATTGGGGGAAATTATGGAAGGAAAACTTAAGATTTACTGCATGTACGGCGTTAAAAGAAAATATCATGAAAATGTTTTATAGATGGTATATTACACCGGTAAAGTTAGCAAAAATGTATAAAACTGTAATAAATGTTGGAAATGTAAAGAAAAAGAAGGAACGTTTTATCATATGTGGTGGGAGTGTAAGAAAGTGAAGAGCTTCTGGGAGATGATATATAATGAGATGAAAAAAATGTTGAAGTATACATTTGTTAAGAAACCAGAAGCCCTACTTTTAGGCATTACAGGAAAGGAAATAAGAAGGAAGGATTATAAACTTTTTCAATATGCAGTTACAGCAGCAAGAATTCTACTGGCCCAGAAGTGGAAACAAGAGGAAATACCGACGAAAGAGGAATGGAGGATGAAATTAACAGACTATGCAGAACTGGACAAGTTAACAGGGAAAGTTAGATATCTTTGAGACCAAAAGTTCATCGAGGACTGGGGAAAATTTGTGGAATATCTGAAAAGTACATGTGAAGTACAAACAACGCTAGTGGGGTTTAAAGAAGCACTGTAAAAACTGAGGTATATTGTTAAATGAAAATGGATGATTGGAGGGGGGACTTATGGCAATAGAGAACAGAAGAAATGCGCAAGCAAGAGTTAAATATGGATGATTGTCAGAGAAGTTGAAGGAAGTCCAAAAGTATGGAATTTGTGAAAATTTGGATCAAAATTGTATATTTATGTTAAAAATTAATAAAAAGCATTTTTTAAAAACAATTATGTCATAAGCAGGTGTACACTAGGCAGTGGTGTTAAGTTGTCCAGTAAAGAAAGGATGTCTTCTCTCCTTGAAAAACAAGCACCGTGCTCAAATACAAGGAACTACTATTATATTTATAACTGAAATCACCATTAGCAGATATCTAAGCTGGAGCTGGTGGAGCAATGCCAAGAGAACACTTCTGAATGGAATGAAGAATGAATGAATACACATCCAAGGAGCAACCATATCACAATGTATCTTTATAGACATGGAAGGATTGCCCACAGAGTTAGAATTTTGTGATGCATGAAACCCCAAAACATATGTAACTTAGCTTCAGCTAACCAGATTTCAGGTTGGGCACGCTTTTGTGAAAAGCAGGTTGGCCTAGATAACAAACTCTATTTCTCATGAGAACTTCATTTCTCGAGAGATTTTTTTTCCAGGATATTCTTTTTCATTGACTATATCCAAAATACAGTCCGAACAGATTTGTCTGTGGTTTATCACCATCTCTGGTCGCTGGTCTCTTGTTTTGTTTTTGGATTTTTTTCTTCTGTTATGCCAGGAGATATCCTGAAGACCTGAGGTGCACATCACTTAAAACAGCAAACAAATAAAAATTACCAAACCATTTAAAACTAGAAAAGTGATTTCCCCTTTGGTTGTTTTTTTCCCCCCGGAGGAAAGTCAAGATATTATGGAAAACAGGTGGTCTTTACTGCTGCCTTGAATAAACAAACATGGGAGATATTTTCAAGATGTTCTGACCACAGTTAATGAAACAATGGAAAGGAAGAGAGTCAAGTCATTTCTTTACTTACTCAGTCTTTCATTGACAGGGCGCTAAATGGATTCTGAGCTGCAACCTATAAACGTCAATTATGTAAAATCTAGCCCCACTAGGGGATATACACACACACACACACACACACACACACACACACACATTCTGGGATGATCAGCATTCAAATTCATTCTTTGATTAATGTGTGTGTGTGTGTGCGCACACACACGTTTTGGAACATTTTTGAATGTATTTATGCTAGAAGAGCTCTGGACAATTCACTCATCTCTATATCTAAGAATTCCTTTTTAAAAAGCAAAAAACAAAAAGCACATTCAGAATAATAAATCAGTAACTTCCCCCCATGTGCACTAGTTTTTGTTTCAGTTCAGAACTAATACTCCTTGTTGACAATTCTTTTAAGTCATCCTGGAGGGGAAAAACCTTCCTCCAGAATGCTCAAGAATATATATGTGTATATATATCAAAACCTCCCTTAACAGCTGAACTGGGAAATAAACAAGTGAGATGAAGGATGAGGGTCTTTACAAAATAATATATCACTGTTGTTGGTTCTTCTCAGTGCTCCACTTAAAATGCAATCTTAGAATCACTGAAGGAGGAAACACATCTTTTGAATTAATAGTTTGGTTGTGATGCAAAATAGATCATTAAAGATCATTGTTACTTGTGACAATGGCTATTGTTCTCTAATCATTCCCTGCAGCCTCTTCTCTACCCTCTTCCTCCGAATGCCAATTCAAACATATTTGAGCAAGTTGGAGAACCTTTGGTCCTCCAGATGTTGCTGAATTACGACTCCCATCATCCCTGGCCAATGGCCATGCATGCTGGGGCTGATGGGAGCTGTAGTTCAGCAACATCTGAAAGGCTGAGATTTTCCCATCGCACATCTAGATACTCATTTTGAAAGAGTTTCAACAGCATTGCTCTTTTGACATAACCTGTAATGTTGATTTACTTTTGCCATCTTGCAGTGCCTTCAGTGGCTTGTTGGGTTTCCCCTGTTAGTTTACCTGTGAAAAGCTAATCTAGCTGCTTGAAAGAGCCTTCACAACGTCTGACTCAGCAAGCCAAATACTGTTAACTGGCCTGCCATAGCCCTCCGGGGTTTGGGTGCTTGTCTGAGACTGCAGAAGCCCCAGACAGGCCACAATATATGACTGCTGATGTGTGTTTGGCTTTGTGGTTAGTATGCTGTGCAAAGTTTATAGTACCTTTATCCATAATCATATGGATCGGTTAATACAAAGCCAATGGTAAGGCAACATTTCCATCTGAGGTCATAGATTCCCGCTGATGTCTCTGTACTGTAGGAATGCTTGAAGAATTCAGTCTTTGCACAGTCCATAGAATGCACACCTCTCTGACTATTTTGTTTATATCTTGCATTCCCATAAAAATGATCCAGGTCTTGTGAGCCAGTGTGGTGTAGTGTTTAAGAGCGGTAGACTCGTAATCTGGGGAACCGGGTTCGCGTCTCCGCTCCTCCACATGCAGCTGCTGGGTGACCTTGGGCTAGTCACACTTCTTTGAAGTCTCTCAGCCCCACTCACCTCACAGAGTGTTTGTTGTGGGGGAGGAAGGGAAAGGAGAATGTTAGCCGCTTTGACACTCCTTCGGGTAGTGATAAAGCGGGATATCAAATCCAAACTACTACTCTTCTTCTTCTTCTTCTTCTTCTTCTTCTCCTTCTTCTTCTTCTTCTTCTCCTCCTCCTTCTCCTTCTCTCTTTTTCTGGCATGCAAAGTATATGTGAACTATTACTGAGACACTGCCACTGCAATATCATTTCAGTTGTCTCAAAGCAGATGCGTTCTACCAGCATCCCTTAGTGGTATTGAAAATTTCACACCACACATAGTACAGTGATATGTCTGCCTGCTTGCGGAGTTACTTATGAGTGATTAATCAAACCAATTATTGTCCCACATTGCTCATGATCTCAGTTTATTATTGCTTGAGACTTACACGTAAGCAAGGAAATACAACACCATCAAATAGTTTCTGTTTTATTTTTACAATTAACACAATGGCCTTGTAAAACGACTGCTATGTTCCCAAGCAGAGAAAACCACAAGCATGACTTGTAAGTATCTACTTCTGGAGTCTATGTGGCCAAAATGGGCTGCCCCTGCAATTTTATGAAGAGACGTGATCCTCCTGAGGCACGTAACAACGATTTCTGGTTGATTTCAGGTTCATGTTGTGTTAGAATAGCAAGGTTATAGGTAAACCAATTACCCACCACAGTTTCTGATGACTGAAGAACATGTGTCCATCATAGTATGTGTTAGCATATAGAAACATCTGTTATTAATACTGCAACTGAATTCACAATAACTATTTGGTGGATTTTATCCATTGACCAAGCATTATATTACTGTTTCATTAGCAAAGATTTGGTCGTGTGAAGGCATTGAGAGTAAACATGCCCTTAAACCTGGGATGGGTAATTCATGACCTTCCAGATATTGCTGGACTCCATTCCCATCAATCCCAGGACCAGAATAAGTATGAAGGGGGAGGAGCAGAGACAAATATGTTGACAGAGTCTCAAATTGCTTGGGAAGGACCTGGGGAAGAAGGAGGTTTAAGCAACTGTGGGAAGGCAGGGACCTCATTGGGGGCATGATCTACCAGGAAGAGTTGCTGTGCTTACTAGGCCTGGCCTCCTGAGCTGTTTGTTCCTTTGACTAAAGAGTTAACGCCAGGGGCCATAGGTCCCTTATCCCTGCCTTAAATAATCTTCAGTTTCCAGATAATTTTAGTGTACTGGATTCCTTTTTTAAACAATTGAATTTTTACTAGCAATTTATTTATTTACAGTCTAACCTCAGTTCCTGAACACCTCCATTATCGCACGTTTTGACTTCTGAAAGACAAAAACCTGGAAGTAACTGCTCCGGTTTTCGAATGCCTTTCGGAAGGCAAACATCCGACACGGCTTCCATTTTGAGTTTCCCTATTGTATTGAGGTGTCCTCTTTCATTTTTCGGTTGTCAAACATTTTGGAAGTCGAACGGTCTTCTGGAATGGATTACATTGGACAACCAAAGTTTGACTGTATTTTGATTTCTCCTGCCCTTGCTTCAACACAAGGTCCCTGGGCTGGTTATATATACAATTATTAAACATATCAGACAGTTACAACCATAAAGCAATGGTAAAAACAGTTCCAAATATTAAACAATTTTAAAATGTCATATAAATATAGATATTAAAACAGCACATTATTTTTGCTTTCTTTTTTGATGTTTTCTGTCCCCCCCCTTTTTTATTGTGCTTCAGTGGTAAGTTATGCAAAATGAGAGTTTATGTCAAGTTAATTTGCCAATAGAATCTAAGTATAAAAAACTATGCACATGCCAGGTTAACATTTGATGTATAACCATAAAAAAGCAGTTCTGAACATAAAACAATGAAAAATAATTGCAGGTGGAAAAACAATACAAAATATTTAACAACAATTCCACATATAGAAGCAGGTAAAAGTATTTCCAGTACAGATACAAACTGGAATGAAGACGGATAGGATATAGGCAGAATGAATGGCAGCTGCTTTAAATTCACTTTGGCAATGGACTTTCGGTCACACAGATCGAGAAACAACCTTATGATGATGTTACATTTGCATTATAGGAGCTGTTGCAGCACATCCTGTTCTTGTGTAGTTCCAGTGAAGTCAGAAGACTTGACAGATATGGCAGTGAGCCTGGCAATGAGGCTCTTTCCCATGAAATTATTGCCTCACCTCTGAAACTTGGGCAAATGGAACAAGTAGTGTTGTGGAGTAGTAAATGAACAATACATGTTGCAGCAGGTTCCGCACCATAACAATATTTTAAGGGTCCTAAATTTTTTCAGTATCAATACAACCTGATGGAACATAGGAAACTGCCTTATTCTGGCTCAGAAATGCTATCCATCCAGTTCAATATTGTCTATGGTGACTGACAGTGTCTCTCTAGGAATTCATACAAGGCGCTCTCCCAGTTCTACCAAGAGATATCAGGGATTGAACCTGGGACCTGCTGCAGGAAAATCAGATGCTCTTCCACTGAGCCACAGCCTCTCCCCAATGTAGGGAGTTGCCTTTTTCTGCATTAGTTCATGTGTTGTTGTTGTTTAGTCATTTAGTCGTGTCCGACTCTACATGACCCCGTGGACCAGAGCACGCCAGGCACTCCTGTCTTCCACTGCCTCCCACAGTTTGATCAAACTCATGCTGGTAGCTTCGAGAACACTATCCAACCATCTCGTCCTCTGTCGTCCCCTTCTTCTTGTGCCCTCCATCTTTCCCAACATCAGGGTCTTTTCCAGGGAGTCTTCTCTTCTCATGAGGTGGCCAAAGTATTGGAGCCTCAGCTTCACGATCTGTCCTTCCAGTGAGCACTCAGGGCTGATTTCTTTCAGAATGGAGAGGTTTTATCTTCTTGCAGTCCATGGGACTCTCAAGAGTCTCCTCCAGCACCATAATTCAAAAGCATCAATTCTTCGGCAATCAGCCTTCTTTATGGTCCAGCTCTCACTTCCATACATCACTACTGGGAAAACCATAGCTTTTACTATACGGACCTTTGTTGGCAAGGTGATGTCTCTACTTTTTAAGATGCTGTTTAGCTCATGTAGCTGAGTGCTTTCTCTTCTTACAGACAGCAACTCTCCAAGATCTTAGGTTGGGTCTTTCTCAGCACTGCTGCCTGGAAGCCTTTTAACTGAGCCCCCCAACCTTCTACGTGCAAAACAATACAGAACTAAAATATCATTGAAAGAACCAGAAACCGATATAGATGGGGCTAAATAAATAAATCTGCATGGGCCCAACCTTGGGCTTGACTAGAATTGTAAGTAAAGTCTGAATACAAATTCAGAATGAATATGGGGGCTCTCTTAGGGCAGATGAATATGCGCCATCACAATATGTGTTGTGTCTGTTGAGTTCAGGTACATCTCTTTTTCCTAAACGTAAGAAGGGTGTCACAGGATCAGGCCAAAGGTCCACACACCTCAGCATCTTGTTTTCACAATCGGCCAGCCAGATCTCCAGGAAGCCTGGAAGAAGTGTGATTCATTTGCTGCCAAGGAGCAGAATAGGCCTCCTCCTTCTCCCACTTTGATGAAGGGTCATAGCTCAGCGATAGCACATCTGCTTTGCATGCGAAAGGTCTCGGGTTTAATCCCTCGCATCTCCAGATTAGATTGGGAAAGGCCCCTGTCTGAAAGTCTGGGGAGCTTTTGCTGGTCACTGTTACCAGACAATGCTGAGATAGATGGATTAGCATTTAATCCAGGAAGCTGGTTTATACTGAGTCAGTATACTTAATCATTAATTAGTAGTCTGACCCACTATGACAGTGTACAGACAACAGCAGAACCCAGAATATGAGAATAAACTATATTATGCTCAAATATGAAACAGCAAACAATAAAAAATAGCAAAATAATTATAACACATAATGGAAAAGGGAGCCCTGTTTGGAAGTGTGTTTCTGCTAGCTGGTCTTTTTCAAGTCCAAGTACAGTGGTACCTTGGGTTACATATGCTTCAGGTTACATACGCTTCAGGTTACAGACTCCGCTAACCCAGAAATAGTACCTCAGGTTAAGAACTTTGTTTCAGGATAAGAACAGAAATCGTGTTCCGGTGGTGCGGCAGCAGCGGGAGGCCCCATTAGCTAAAGTGGTGCTTCAGGTTAAGAAACAGTTTCAGGTTAAGAACGGACCTCTGGAACAAATTAAGTACTTAACCCAAGGTACCACTGCAATATGAAGACACATAAGGCAGCTCTTATTTTCTACATCCTTACGTTGGGAAGTTGATCGCATGTGGATGAAAATAGCCAAGCCTCCTGCTCAAACCTGGGCAATCTGCTACAATACCCATGAGGCAGTGTGTCTGTGAGTGCCTTCCACATGGACAACAGAATCCAAAGCCTCTGGACTCTGCTTTTAAACAGGTATGGAGAAATTAGCTGATGGGGTCATGATAATATGCAGAGTCCTTGAATTAAAACCATGTACCTTGTAAAAAAAACCTTCCTCTCTTTCTTATTAAGTATCAAATTGGTCCAGCATGAAAACCATTTGCTCTTTCCCACTGGGTGGTTTGCATTTGCTTTTCTGCTGTATGCATATAGAGTAATACCCAGGGACATTCATCTTGTCGGACTCTAAAACCGAGGAATGAAAAATGAAACCTGTTGACAATGTTGTACAATAAACCGTGTAATTTATTAGGAATGAAATTCCTCTCTGCTATGATTAAAAGTAATGACAGATAAAATAGAGTTTTTGCACCTTTTGCATAGATCAGACTCAAAGCCTTGTCCAAGTGATTCATAAATACTAAAAAAAACTTGATGTAATTTAGTTGGAAGAAAGAGTCCCATTACTCTTTGCTTAATCACCTCTGGGAAAAGTTAAAAGATCATTACAAATAGGAAAAATGGGGAAAAAAGCACTACACATTTTTCATTTGGACTTTTTAAAGGTTATCCCATTAAGCTGAAAAGTTTTGGGCATCATTTTTTTGTTATGGACGTGTTTCAAATGCCTGCAACTGAAGAACAAAACAAAACACAAAACACTTTGGGTTGTTTCACACATAATCATTCCCCCTTCTGCAGGAACAAGTGATAAATAGCAGATCTGAAAGAGGTATCACCTATCAAAGACTGCTGAGAGAACTTTTATCATCTTAAACTAGAGCTGGACCAAAAACTTCTTCCTCTGAACCTTTTTCAGCTTGGGTTTCTGTGTGTGAAGAAAGTTCACTGAAATAATGTAGCAGTTGATCTCTCCCCACTACTGCCATTTCTTTTGTGGGCACGATGTTTGTGATCATTCTGCAGGAAGTCTAGGCTGCTGGTTGACATTTTTATATATATATAATTTTTATAAATTTTCCAATATAAAATTATACAAAACAAAATATCCAATTTATCACCAACATCCTCTTTTTGGACTTCCATCAGCATGTCTGATAATTCTCCGTTTTGCTCACTTCTTCCACATTTCTCAATTTAATATTGCACTACATTAATATCTTATTTTACCTTATTTTTTAAACAATATTTCTACTATACATTCTCACAGAACTTCCTGAAAACTTACTAACGTTATCTGATCATCACATATACTTTTCATATAATCTGTAAATTTATTCCAGTCTTCAGTGAATTTCTGGTCTCGTCGGTTCCGGATCCTCCCTGTTAGTTTATCAAGTTCTGCATAGTCCATTAATTTCATTCTCCATTCTTCAATTGTAGGTAATTCTTCTTGTTTCCATTTTTGGGCCAACAAAATTCTTGCTGCTGTTACTGCGTATAAAAACAGCTTCCATTCTTTTTTGTTAATTTCATTTCCTATTATTCGTAATAGAAATGCTTCTGGTTTTTTAACAAATGTGTATTTCAACATTTTTTTAAACTCATTATATATCATTTCCCAAAAGCATTTCACTTTTTTACATTCCCACCACATATGATAAAATGTTCCTTCTTTTTCTTTACACTTCCAGCATTTGTTACTTATTTTATACCTGCTGGCTGACATTTTTAAATATATAACTCCTGAGTGAGGGCAGGAAGCATTGCCCTTACTCTGATTTGGCTTTATGATCATCCCAAATCATAATGTGATATTCTGCTGGGGTCTGCTTCCCCAGTGAATTCCCTGTGGGGAATATGCTGGAGAAGCAGACCCCTGCAGCCTGCGGAACTGAATCAGTTCTGCTCAGTTTGATTGTTTGTGTGTCCCCCTGTTGGAAACAGGCATGCTCAAACCACTTTCTCCCCCCCCTGCCCAACTCACCCCCCCCCCCACGACAGCCCTGGATCACTCTGCAGGGCCCAATCAGAAATGGTCTAGGGCTGCTTCCACCCAACCTAGTAGAAGCCCTACATGACCTGATTCACCTTGGCCTCAACTGAATCTGGTGCACAGCCCTAATAGAACCTCCTGCCTGTTCTAAAACAGGCCCCTGCTCCTAAAAGCAGGGGACCATATTAGATAACATGTATTCAAGGTCTGGTCTCTGAAATGCCTTACCACAGTCCTGGTTCACGCCTTGTAGTCTCCAGTGCTGAGCAGTCCAATGTGCAGACATCAAAAGCAGTCTACTTGGCTGGTCCTGTACAGACTGACAGTAAATTTGGCTAACACAGAGGAGACATACAGTTAAAGGTCCTCTTTTCACTACATTAATGAGCAGTGTAGGGTTTTAGGGCTGAACTGTTTTCTTCAAAGTTAAAAGCCAGTGGTTCTGCCATACAGATGTTCTGTATTGTGCCTGCATTACAGTTGGAATAATTAAAATAGAGATGGGGATTGGCATTCTCATCGTAGCATTTCAGTCAGTCTATGTAGTTAGCAGAATGATGGCTGAAGCCTTTCATCGAATGCACAGCTTCAGGTCCTGGGTGGCTGGCCACTTTCTCACCTGATGAAACCCTGTTTATAGGAAGAAGGCTAGTCCGAAGCCTTTTCTCTGACTTGCCATTTAGGCCTGTTCTCAGGGAGTTTTATGCAAAAGGGAGCCTTCAGACATGAAACCCTCCACTTGCAACTTGATGTGGGATTGTCCAAGATGAAAACATCAATTGATCTTGCTGGTTGCTTAAAACAGATGTTATTTAGGTATGTGGAGGGAGCTGTTGAGTCTAAAGAAGTCATTAACACTCTCTCTCTCTCTCTCTCTCTCTGTGTGTGTGTGTGTGTGTCTTAGTTTTGCTTTGGGAATCTGTCAATACGCATTTGCTTTGTCCATTCTTCTGTACGCATGTGTATGTCAAAGCAGTAGGTGGGCAATCATAGGCATTTCTTGACCATGTCACTATGCAAAATGGCAGCTGTGATCAGGAAGGTCCCTGTGGTTATCCTCATGTATGCAGCTGGCTCACACTAACATCATCTCACTCTACCCTCTCAGTATGAAATCAGCTTGTGAAAATCTGGCCTGTTAATGTGAAGGGATCCCAAATCATGATAGAAATCAGGCATCTACCACAAGTTTTGCAGGCCTGTGTAAGCTGTGATACTCCAACCCCAGAAGAGCACCCGCCCACATACATAC